ATGATAAACATTAAGTTACCCTTTGCCTACCTTGTTAAGTCCAGGTTTAGTGTGCCGGTTAACCACACACGCTCCACTAACAGCTTAACAAAGTGCAAAGTGTAATTTCATGGATTAGCACCTTATTTACATTTTCCTAAGTAACTAAGTTGGGAATTTATAAGTGTTTAGTTACTTAGTATTTATCATTATACTTATAATGAAGGGAGAATTATAGTCCTTGTCCTACCTGTTCGGCTAACGACCCTCCCACCAGTCAAGGAAGCGGTGGGTGAGAGTGGGACACCCATTAAACTGTCATTTTATAGGCAGTAACCTAATATACCCCCCTTATAGACCGGCTTCTGAATGAGGCCTACTATGGTAAGACGACTTGCTCTTATACATATAAAATTGAAACTTTAATATTATAATAGTATAAGGGTTATTTTAGCACATTTAAAATACGGTGGTGTTAATCTATAATTAAACTAACTCTTAATTAATTAAATTTAAACCATGTCATTATGGAATTATTAATTCTCTTTTAATTAAACACTTTAATATCTATTAATAAAGTCCATAAGAGTTACTTGAATTATTCAATAAAACATCATAATTCCAATTATTAAATTCAAAATTAAAACCATTTAATTAATTGTTTAAGTTATGAACCCAAGCTTTTTAGAATTCAATTCTTTTTTTTTATCTCTAAAAAACCTTTTCCAAATTCCAAAACTTGAGGGCAAGTTTTGTAACTCTTGAAAACTTTGGATTCCATAACTTATGGAGTTAAATACTTGTTTTATGATGAAACTTTTCATGTTCCATACTTAAGAAACAAGTTATGGAATTCTTTAAAAACATAAGACCAAGTTGTGTAACTCCATAAAAACTTTGAATCAATTTTTTTTAAAAAACCTTTTTAATCCATAACTTATGGAGGTTTCAAAAAACTCTTTAGATCAAATTTTAAAATATAAAATAATCATATCATTTTATCTTTTACTAAATTTGACATAATTCAACTCATATAGCAAATGATTCAATTTTACAAATAATTAGTTTTTCACAAAAACAAGTAATTATCTTAAATTTGACAAACGTCATGTTTTTTTTTTTCAACTTGAAAATAAACATTTGCATCAATATAACAGAAAACAACCAGGCTCTGATACCACTGTTGGGATTTGAGCATTCTAACACTCCTATGGTGTCCATGCAACCCTATAAACCTTGGATCTATGTTTTCTCTATTATACATGCAAATATTAACTATTCCAAGGTTTCATCCTAACTAGCATATTATGAAGCACCTATACTACAAGTTCTAGTTAGATGACATACCTTTTGATGTAGTTGATGTCTTCAAACTTTAAGAGCTTAGCCCCAATAGTGTGGAAGCCTCAAATGGAATCGCAAATCACCAAAACACCTTGGAAGAACTTGAGAGAATATGTATGCACACTAAAATCGGCCCATACTTTTTTTCACACACTTGTGCCAATTTTGTGAGCCAAGGACCCCTTTATATATTATGGAGGATTAGGGTTACATCCATGTAAACCCTAATACCCATGACCTTTCATTTACATAGGATCCATGGGTTAAAAGCTCCATGGACCATCCATGAAAGCTTAGCCCAACCTAAATGAACTTGGCCCATTCCATATATATAAGAGTCCATATTTAATTAGTTATTTTTTATCGCTTAATTAATTCTAAATTAATTCTTGATCAATACTAATTAAATAATATGATTCCTATTAATATATTAGACTTATATATATTAATATAAATCATAAATATACTATTCTCAAAAAACTATCCATATAAATTGTGCCGGTGAAGTGCAACCCAAATGGACCATGCCGGGTCGGGTCAAGTACATACCAAATATAGTTATGGACTTAGACATAATCCAACACAATCCACACATCCGCCTTAGCAGGTCGGCCATCTTGGTCCTCAGTGGGCGGGGCGGCAGGCACCCCCGACACCACCCTCCCCACCCTACACCTCGGACAATCGGCCGCTTGTGGCCGTCTGGTTTGCATTGAAAACAAATGAAGCCATTCTTGGTGCAATCCCTGATCACGTGGCCCGACTGGCCACATGCATAGCATCCCGAGCCTGCCGTCCGACAAGCCCTAATGTGCAGTTTACCACACTTGGCACACCGGCCACAACCCTACTGGCCCCTGCTGGAAGGATCCGAGGTATTAGGCTTTTTAGCCTGACCCACTACTGTCTGTGCCTGCTCAGGCTTCCGCTTGGTGCAGAAGTCCAACTCCATTTCCTGCTCGCGGGCCTTCTCCACCATCTCGTTCAGGTTTTTGCACCCTGTAAAGCTCACAAACTCCCATATATCATCCCTCAGCATGGAATGATATCTTGTCCGCCTCATATCCTCATCTGTAGCGTACTGTGGGATCAACAAAGCTCGTTCCCGAAACTTGGCGGTGATCTCCGCTACACTCTTGGTGGTCTGCTGAAGGTCATGAAACTCCCTCACAAGTCGTTGCACCTCAATAGGTGGTGCAAACTCCACATCGAATCGCCGAACAAACTCGGCCCATGTCATCTCATCATCGCCACAGCCACACTGCTCCCCCCTGGCTGGTCACCTCTCCCAACCAGTCTCGGGCTCTGTCTCTTCAGCATACATGAAGCAAAAACCCACCTTTTTCCGCATCAGGGCAAGAACTGTGTGTTTGGGCGTTCTCATATCCGCCACCCAGCGTCGGCTAACAATGGGTCCCTGACCCCGAAAAACTCTGGCGCCCCGCACGCCTTGAACTCCCGGAACGAGGGAGTTCGGGCCCCGACCTGGCCCGCAACAATCTCGGCTCTGAATGACCTGAGCCTCTCCTCCATAATCTCCATCATACTCTCCTTGACTGTCCCAAAGATCACTGGGATAGCGTCAAGGATGCCCTTCGTCACCTCGGCTGCAATGAGCCCGCGTAGCCTCTCATCAACCCGACCCGGATCCAGATCCCGATCCTGATCCTGATCCGCCTGTACCGAATCGCGTCACCACCATGCTGAACTGAAATGTCATAAATCATAATGATCAGGATACATAATTGGAGGATTCCCTCACACCGGTCCTCCTTAGAGCTTATAGATCTAACATTAGTTCGGGTACAAGTCATGTGCTTTCAGTAGTATGGGCCCAATACTACCTTTCACACCTACATGTACCTTCCCCAAAGCTCTACCTGCTAACTCTAATTCGTCCCAAAAATAAATCATATCCCACAGACTATCACATATCTCAAATCCCAGGCTATCCTAATATTCGTTCTACTCTCATCAATCAGACCAATCATAACATGTTGCCTTTATGCATGCAAATTATACACAGAATAGGATCAAATAGACTTTTGAATAAGAGATTCTACCCTAGGACCACAACCAAACAAGGAACAGGAAATAAGGCTAAATCAATCATTCTAAGGCTATAAGCACCTACCCGTATAAAATTTTAAAAGCATACACATAGCAAGATCCATATGATTATCATAGCTAAAATATCAGTATAACATGGCTAATCATATTGGGGAACTACTTACTTGGCTCGGCCGATCACGCGCGTTGCATTCTCATCTTTTCCATTCTTTAAAAATTTTTAATTTGTTTTATTTTTGAAAACAATTTTACCATTTCCTTAGTTTGAGTCCTGACACACCCGCGAGTGTGCCTGAATCCCTCAAACCAAGGCTCTGATACCAACTTGTAACAACCCAGATTTTTAGAAGAAAATTTTCATTTTTAATTAACCAAAAATACGTTCCACCAAACACTAAATCCCAAATACAATTGTTCTCAATTTCATAACAACAATTTTTATTTTAAAACATCAGAGTGTCCAGTGATAACGACTAAGAGAGAGTGCACGCCGCTCCAGCAAGCCTTTCCCTTGCCCTTGGGCTCGGATGTACCTGAAACAAATCCACAAACTGTAATCTAATGCTTAGTGAGCTCCCCAGGGCATACCTCGCACACAATCCACATATCACATATCATATTAACTATAAAAGCTACATGTATCACATAAGCCATGCATACAAGAAATAGGGATGCCATGGGCTAGTCCCCAGGGTCTTACTCCAGGATTTCATGGGCTCCCCACATGGTCTTACACCTATGCTTTAAGAAAAAAAAAACAATTATAGCATTGTCGACAATTCTATAATTAGGTTTTCTTATTGTCTACGGTTTTTTGGCAGCGTACTTATGGAGCACATGTTGGGAAGGTATTACTTCTACCAAGGATACTTTATATAATATTATAAAAATACAGTCAAAGGCAAGCCAGAGTAACTAACTATCATTGATATATTAATTTAACTATAGTGAAATTATACTCAGGTTTAAACAACTTGAAGATTCTCAATGTAAATACTATATCCATTTGGATGTAAATTGTTGATGAAATCACGCATGCATGATAGGATATAATCATGTTATTTTGTTTGTTAAGTTATCAACCGAATGAATATCAAAATAGTTCAACTTTTCAATCTTATATATAAAAAACGTTATTGTTTCAAAAAAATAATAAAAAGATGAAACAAAAGTGAAAAATAGTTAATGAATACACATACTTTTAATCATTTTATAGTATATTTTATAAAAATCATAAATTTTATATACCTAATAGATTAAATTGTAAAAAAGAAGACAGATTACATTAATTAAATACGGTTTTCACCATTTATCCAAAAAAAAATAAGCAAGTTTTTCCTACAACAAAGGTAGGTTATAGTTTTTATTATCCTTTAACTGAGTAAACCAAAAATCCAATTAGATTACTATGACAGAAAGACTGCATACAGTTAGCGAACCTTTCGCGTCAATCACATAAGGATAAACCTTTCCTTTTATTCCTCTTCACACCACTATATACATATATCTAAATAAATTTGCCCATTACTCATACTCATCATCGACTTTATTCTGACTTTCAAACCAGTACTTGTGCTTAATTCCATCGATCTCAACTCTTAACATCAATGGACGTCGAGCAAGAAATCATCCCATATTCATGTAACGGAGGTAAGCAAGTTGCCCTGGATTTTGCTGATCAGCTTCCCTCCGGATATCGATTCTGTCCCACGGATTCAGAGCTCATTGTAGACTGCCTGAACGCCAAGATTGAATCAAGAGAGCCCCCCAAGTGCCGGTTACACGAGGTCAATATTTACAACCACAGGCCTGAAGAACTCGCAGGTTAGTAATCAACTAATTAATTGAAGAGACATTCATGATTCATCTTGAATGATGGTTTCTTTCCTGAGTTAATTAGCTCTGATTGTAAATAACTAACACTATTGTTTAGTACGTAAAGATACATTTATGCATGCATGATGGTTTCTTTATTAATTATTTGTTTGATGTTAATTGAACTCTTGTGTTTTAATTGGCTGATTGCAGAACATTATCGGTCCCATGAGAACAAGTGGTATTTTCTGACTTCTCGGGATCGAAAGTACCCAAAAGGAAATCGACCTGATAGAGCAGTACTCGGAAAACTTGGGACCTGGAGGACTACTCAAAAACATAAGCCGGTGTATGATGCCACGTCTGGACAAATGGTTGGCCACAAGGGAAGTCTTGCGTATTTTGAGAATGACATCAAAACTATGTGGCTAATGCATGAATATACAATCAATGGACCCAATCTTCCTTTTGAAAACGGAGACAAGGTATGTAGAAATTAATTGTAAGAAATTCTGTTGCTTATTATTATATAAATTATAAGTAAGATTGCTATAATCCTCCATATGATTGTATGCTTAAGTAATATCTGGTCTTCTTGTAGTTGAACGAATGGGTGCTGTGCAAGATTTACAAGAAGGTGCAAACTCGTAAAAGACGTCGAGGTAAGGAGGCGATGGAAGAACCCATATCTTTGCCCAAGAGACGACGAGTATCAGAAAACAAGGAAATCAATTTTTCAAATGATCACCACCCCGAACAAGTTGACGTTCAAGAAACTAATCATTATTCGGATACCTGCTGTGTTCAGATGGTGGCACCTGTCCACGAGTTTGATATGAGAGGACAGCTAACACCTCCTCCGATGGGGTCGACTGGTCACACATGGGTTAACAATGGCGACATCAGAATGAACTCCATCCCCTATCCCGTTCCAATGCAACAGCAACCGACGACTAGTACTGTTCAAGGTCGTAGTTGTCTAATACAAGCACCACCACCATGCTATCAGAATCAGTTTACTTCCAACGCAAGCAACGGTTGTCAAAGTTCATATAGTACTGCTTCAATTTCTGTTTCTATTGAACCACCTGCCTCCTCCGCACAACCACATGATGACGATAGTGCCTACACAAGGAATACTACTGACCATGGTTTGAATTCCATACAACCAGTGCAAAACAGAGAGACATGTTATGATCAGACGAATATGGTTTCATCGAGTACTGCCTGCAACGGTTTTATGTTTTCAAATGGTGTTTCGAATTCTTCTTCTATGCAACCACTATGTGATAACAGTGGCTGCACAGTACCGGTCTTGGTTCAAAATTCTAATGAAGATGTGCCAACCCTACTCGACGTGCAAAATGCTTGGGATCAAGGTGATGCTGCTGACAGTTTTCAATTTCCTGATGATGGTTACGAGGCAATGATAAGTGCCCATGTTGAAGGTGGATGGAGCTTGGAAAGTCTGGAAAGGTTTTTAAATCAATCCAAGGTGGTGCCTCAAGATGATGCTTCTGAAGATTTTCATTTTCCTGATGAGGCAACGATATCCGCCCCAGTAGAAGGTGAATGGAGCTTGGAAAGTCTGCAAAGGTATTTAAATCAATCAATGGTGGTGCCTCGAGGCGATGCTTCTGAAGATTTTCATTTTCCTGATAGTGATAGTGATAGTGATAGTTACAAGGCAACCATATCCGCTCCTGTTGAACTTGAATGGGACTTGGAGATTCTGGAGAGTCACCTAGATAATGTAAATACTACTCCGTCTTAGATCGATTGTAGATGAAATCATACATGTATGATAGGATATAATCATGTTTTTTTGTTCGTTAACCTGTAAATACAAAATGTTGGATTAATATCATAATACTTTAACTTTTTAATCTTATATATATATATATATATATATATATATATATATATATATATATATATATATATATATATATATATATATATATATATATATACTAGTTTATAATACATACATAATACATAATAGAAAACCAAAGGTTTTTAAGACCAAAGTCTTAAAAATAAAGAGGTTGATTTTGATCCATTAAATTTATTTTAATGGTTGTGATTAAAAATTGATGGTGATCCTTGTGAAGTAATATTGACCAATCAAGAACACATATATGACACTATATATACATAACACTTTTTAAAACCCTAATAATCATAGGATGTAAACTTTCTATAAAATTAACCCTCACCTATTCTACTTCAATGCAAAAACACATTCATCCTCCTCCTCAAAAAAAACAAACGGTGGCCATTCCTTTCCGCCTCCTCTACCATCGCAACAAAGCACAAACCCAAAATCAATTCCACATTGCCAACTCTCGCTATTGCCGCCACTAGTGAGCCACCTCGGTGCACCACCTGCGAGAGACCCCAATGCGCCCCATGCGAACCACCTTCACTGCGACCACCCTTGTTGACGGCGTAGCTGTTGAACACCACCACTTATTATCGGCTTTTGAAACCCAAGATCGATTCTCTACGACACTTGTAAACACTAGTACAGAAAGCATTTGTTGATGTGCTTAAAATGATTAATTGATTTGGGTATTGAACCGCATCAAAAAATATCGCATCAAAAAATACTCTTATTTAATGGTGCGGTTCCAAAACCGCACCAAAAAATTGTCAAAACCGCCTCAAAAAAATAGCGAATATCGCACCAAAAATAGCCAAAACCGCCTCAAAAAATAGTTAAAATCGCACCAAAAAATAGCCAAAACCGCCTCAAAAAATAGCTAGCTAAAACCGCACCAATTAACAGGTTCGCCATTGATGCACACCACGCTACTTATGAAGCTTCATTTTCTTGTATTTAGGTATGTTCGGTGAGTGTTTTTCAATCAAATGTTTAATCGTAATTTCTTTTTCTCCAAAATGGGTGGTTTCAATCTCTGCATTTTCTTTTTCTCTACCAATTAAAAATCGGTTCTAGGGAAATCACATTTCATCGATGTTGTTTTCAATTTCTTTTTCAACATCTTAAAATTCACTCTGCAAAAACTAGCTCCATACCCGTTGATTGAAAGTCACTGTGCAAACATCATAAGTCTTTGAATCATTTTTTTAGTGATATATCACGGAGGAAGAGGCATCTGCAGAGATTCAGAACAAGAAAACATCGTTAAAACTTAAAATAGGACATCCATTTATAATTAATAAGAGAAAAATGGAGGCACACATGTCGTTAATGAAAAAAAGATAAATAATGGACATACCTCACATGTGTTTTCAAGCATGGGATCGACAAAACAATAATTATGAGAAGATGTTGCATCTCCAACTTTATATAAAAGAGGGAAGATTGAATTAAAATTTTGAAAAACATGAAAATTTTGAACGAAATTTGGAGGGATCTAGCGCGAAATGAAAAATTCGAATGAAATTTTTAGAGGAAAAATTAATGGTGCGGTTCAATATTTTTTTAGTGTGAATTCTTTTTTGGTGCGGTTCATTGCTTTTTAGTTCGAATTTTTTTTGGTGCAGTTGTAATTATTTTTTGAGGCGGTTTCCACATGATTTTTTGGTGCGGTTTCGAGAAACCGCATCAGAAAATGCTTTAATGGTGCGATTTTGGGAAACCGCACTAACAAAGCTATTTTATAGTGCGATTCTTTTATTTTTTGATGCTATAGTTATTTAATAAGGCGGTTTTTAGAAAGGACCGCATCAAAAAATAAAAATCAATCACACTATTAAATGAATTGTGTACTAGTGAAACCCTACATCTGCACCGCCACCACTCTTAGCCACGACCACCCACGACAACCACGAAACACTAGATCCATAACCATTGCCGCCGTTTCCAAGGACCGCCATAGTTTCAAGCTACTGCCTCACCACCACTTCTATTTCTTAGAATTCGTTAGTAATTTTGACATGGTCACATATTATATAGATCTTTGTATATGGTAACTTTTATATCGTTGTGTGTCTATGTTGTGCATAATATGTATAAGTAATACCTTCTAAAACATATTTGGATCAGTTATCGATGTTTTAGATTTAATTTGGTTCATGTATCTGTGTTCATAAGTTTGGACGTACCTAATGGCTAATGGTTCTATTTTATAATTAAAAGTTTGTTTTTGAGAACGGATTTTTGTTATCTTATGGATTTTTTTTGTTTGTTATTGTTTATTTTGGACGAATACCTTTTGTAATTAGATTTTATTATATTTTAGGTTGTATTATGTTTTGTGTTGTGGTGAATAAAATAAAACAGTTAACATAAAAAGTTAAATATAAACAAAGAGAACATAATATATTTTATTTAGCTAAACTAAAACTGGGAAAATATTTATTAATAAATATTTATAATACGTGTGTTTGGTTTGGCAGAGACCTAAACTATGAAAACAAAAATGACAAAATGAAGAGAGTGTATTACAGTGTTTTTGTTCAAATTGAACTGTAAAATTTAGTAAAATTGTCAGATGGAGTGGAGACGGCTTTGAATCAATAAACCCCTTGCACCATTTTGTTTTAGTTTTATTACAATTCTTTTAAAACCACTATCCCTCTACTATTTAAAAATTCGCTAACATTATTTGATATAAATTTTATACTCAGAGTGTATTGTTTAAATAAAGTGGCAGTGGGTTGTTTAGATATTTAAAAAAAGGTTGTTGTCTTTGTTTCGATTTTTATGATTTTGAATCTTACGTAATATTTTACCTCTAATAATATGTATTTACAATTAATAAATAGTAATATATTTAAAGAATTTCAATATAAAAGGGAAAACAAATTTAAATTCAAAAAAATAATTATAGAACGGTGTTGTAACCAGTGGCCGATGTAGTGTAGAAACAGTGGGGTCCATGGCTCCCACTTGAAAATAGGACCCATCTTATATATTAGGAAAAAAAAATTTATTCTTTTAAATTTGTGCAGATGCCCCTCTCTTGGCATCCTCTTGATCATCTTCACTTATTTAACGAATACTGTAATGGATATATTTTTACCCAATTTCAGTTTGCAATATTAGATTTTTTTCATTTCTTTTGAAAACCCCATCAAAAATTTCATCTATTTTTATAACTCATAAGAAACCACGTCAATTTGTTACTTTCTTCCTACCGCCACCATTGCCGGAGGGATATCCGACCACCGTCACCGGAAGGGACTATTGTTAGTTATAGGGTGGAACCCAGTTGATATTTATCCTGAATCCGCCACCGGCTGTAACATATATTAAGAGAATAACTTATGGTCTTTTTTAGCATACTTATTTAAAGGATGAACGTAAATATATTTTTATAATATAACAAAACAAAATATCATATATCATATATCATATAAGGTAACAGTGTTAACTTCGGTAAAAATAATACATTTTCAGACTTCAACTTTTAATTTATTTAGACTATAGCTGTAAATTATGATTTTGATATACGAGTAATACTTATGAAAATACACCTTCAATATTTTGACAACCAATAAATGACTTTGCTTTTTACGAGTTCTTGGCGGCCGAAATTACAAATCAATAATACAAACAAGAGGAATGCAAAAAGTCTCTTCCTTTGTAAAATAAATGACGTAACAACTTTTAGTTTTTGACTATTCAATATTCCTCACAAAAATCAATCAACACTATATTTTCTATCATATATCGGTAAAATTTAAATAAATTTAAAAACAATTATGCTAAAAGTATAAGAAGAATAAAATGATAAAAGAATAAAATTTAAATAAATATGAACACTCTTATAAGTAACTAACATGTAACACAAAATTACGTTTAATATTGGAATATGTCTCGAAACACAAATATTGTTATCGAACAGGGTTTTTTTTTTTTTGGAAAAGACAAATTCATTAAAAAGCCCAAATTAGCCGGAAAAGACAGAAGAAACACGTTTGATAATAAAGTTCAAGTTTTAAATTAAATTAACATTCACCGATTAATCATTCAAAAGGGCTTGGATTGTCCAAATGTATCAATTTTCCCTTTAATTTTCCTTAGGCCGGTAGGTGTGGCCAACGCCCACACCGGCTTTTTTGAGAAAAAGAAGAAAAATTGAAAGTAGTGGTGCTAACGGTGTTTGCACGTTATAATGCCCAAAAACACATCAGTGGGCATTGTCAATACCAAGCGGTCTTAATGTTTGTTTTAATAATAGAGTTTTTTTTTTTCTTAACAACAAATTTAATCAAATCGTAAAACATTCCTAAATCAGACGAGACTTGAACCTTTGATCACAAGGAGCGAGTGATTTCGATTTTACAGTAAACTAAGATAATTGGCAAAAATAAACTATTAAACGGCCAGAATTTGTCGTCCGCTGAATTGCGCGGGTACCCCACTAGTATGTATATATATATATATATATATATATATATATATATATATATATATATATATATATATATATATATATATATAAAATTAAATAAGTATTTTTCCTATATATTATTTCTATTATTATATATTTAATTAAAGGATTTAAAACTGAATAAAAGTCCAAGTCGCTAAAGTATGGAAAATGATAATTAAAATGAAATAGCTAAGATCAAAGTAGGGATGTCAATCTAAAACACGTCGTGACAAAAATACACGACCCAGAAGGAAACTAGGACAAAATTAAAATTTGAATTCACATTTGTGTCGTGGTTGTGTCTAGTGTAAAAAACACGACGTAATTTCATGCACTGTTCGTGTTCAAAATTTGACATGATTTAGTATCGTTTGTTGTGGTTTTTGTTTTTTGTGATGTTTTTCGTGTTGTATATAATCAAGTA